AGACTTTTCACTACAGTGCCTCAGAGGGCAGCATTGGCTGGGGGAATACTTGTGAACCACAGACACCCATGGAAAACCCACAACCAGAGCTCCTGCACTCAGAGACAGCCACCAGAATCTTCACTGTGAAAAAGATCTTATAGAGGGGGGCAGGAACACTCCAGAGCCTGCATAGTGAACTACTGCACACAATGGAAACAGCCAACCCACCACATTGCACCCTCCTATCAGTCACTTGCAGACCCCTGAGCTGAAAAACCAGTAGGAGGTGCATAGCAACTAGGGAACTGGATCCTGTGCCCCTGCAACTCAAGAAAGATCCACAGCCAAAGACAGATGGACATCTGCTAAATGTCCAAACCCCAATGAAATTCAAACAGGGATTTTCTTCACATGAACATGGCTTACTATAAACAACTCTAATGTCAGCTTTGATCATATAAATAACTCTTTAACTTGAAAGATAATTGGTAACCCAATAGCCAACATTGTACCTTCAACCCATTTGAATGTATTTCATCTAGTGGTTTAAAATATTAATTGGAATCAATTTTCCTATCTTTGTTTTCCTAGCTTTAGTTTATTCCTGCTTCTCTTAACCCCTATTTGTCCTTTTGCATTGTCTCTAGTACCTCAAATACCAACCATTCATCTATTTTTCCTTTTTATCTTGCTGTATAGTATTCTTTTATATCTTTTTTCTCTCTTCTTCTCTCCCTCCTACTGTCTGTATTTTTTCCCCCTCTTCTTTTTGCCCAATCTTTCTTACTTCCTCATTTTAGCCCTCACTTAAGGTTATGGTAAGTTTACTAAATTCAACAATTTTTTGACCTATTACAGAAATGTATTATAGGTTTATACACAAATTTGATGAAACATAGAGAACAATTGCAATGAGTTTTTGTTTTTATAAGGTTGAATAGAACAAAGCTTGTCTCTGAAATGATTCTAGTAAATAGGGTTCAGTGGCATGTCTAGAGTGGTGCTGATATTGGGATCAGCAGAGGTTACATATTGACTTAAAATATTATTATCTGCACATTCATCCAACCCAGGGCTCTTAAGAGAGAGAAACTCACAAAATAGTTCTTCACTTAAAAGAAGTGAGAACTATACCCATCAATGGGTAGACATACAAACAATATGAAAAAGCAAGAGAACAAATCACCCTGAACAGCTCATAATGCTTCAACAATGGTCTTCATTGATAGCAGAGTGGAGGAAATTTCAGAGAAGGACTTTAGAAAGTTCATAGTTAAACTGTTATATGAGCTAAAAGAAAATGTAAGGAGTGAAGTCAGAGAGAAAATGCAGGGAGTGAAAGTTCACTGAAAAGCAACCAAATGGAAATCCTTGAAATGAAGGAATCAATAAACCAAATTAAAAATTTAATAGAAAGCATCACCAATAGATTAGAGCACTTTGAAGATAGATTTTCAGGCATCAAAGACTAAGTATATAATCTTGGAAATAAAGTTGACCATAGAGAAAAGATGTTTAAACACCATTAAAATAATATTGAAGAAATCTGGGATAACATTAAAAATACCAGTTTAAGATTCAATGGAATTGATAAAGATTCTGAAATACAAACTAAAGGAATGTACATTATTTTCAATGAAATAATATCAAAGAATTTTCCAAACCTTAAAAATGAGATAGAAATTGAAAACCTTAGAAGTGGAAAGACCTCCCATGTTCTTCCTTTATTTTTTGTTCACAATTTTAATATGTAACACCAGAGGCATTCTGAATTTTACACAAAAATGCCATGCAACAGGACTCATTGATAATGGTATAAATTTTCATGTAGTAACAATACAAATTTATTTTAAGTATATAATATTTTGAGTGTGAGTTTTATTATTTATTAATTGAAATTACAATTATGAAATAATAGTGTACTTATTTTGGCTTTATAAGTTCTCACAACGTATAAAAGCAAGGTAGGGAATTAATTTTCTTTGATTCTGACATATACACCAAGAAATCAGAAAACACATTGGAAGATTTACATATACCTTGATGGTTACTAATATCAAGAGAAAAATAAAATTAACATATTATAGACTAACATATTAGAATACACACATACATATGGTCACTTGGATTTTAACCAAAGCTCGCAGTTGATTCAATGAACGGATGTATATATGAGAGAGAATTTATTAGGAGTATTGGCCCATGCCCTTTTTTTTTCCTTGAAGTTGAGAAACCCATCTTCTCCTGCTCTTGGATAGCAGAACTTCAGACCTCTAGAATCTGGTCTTCAGATTTCAAAATTAGTAGTAGCAGCCTTACAATTTCTAATGCTTTTCTATTTGAAACAAGCTATACTATCTGTGTCCCTGGTTCTCAAACTTGCAGATTTGTTATTGGGAACTCCCATGTTTTTTGATAGGAGAATTAATATTGTCAAAATGGTCCTACTACCAAAAGCACTATATAGATTCAATACAATTCCCATCAAAATTCCAATGACATTCTTCACAGAAATAGAAAAATCAGTCATGAAATTAATTTGGAAAAATAATAGACCCGGAATAGCCAAAGTAATCCTTAGCAAAAAAAAAAAAAAAAAAGCAAAGCAGGAAGCATCATAATACCAGACCTCAAATTATACTATAAAGGTATAATAATAAAAACAGCATGATAGTGGCACTAAAACAGGCATGAATACCAATGGAATAGAAGACTCACAGACAAATCCACATAAGTAACAGATATCTCATACTAGACAAAGATGTCAAAAATATACATTTAAAAATATACCTTTAAAAAATGGTTCTGGGAAAACTGGAAATTCATGTGTAGTAAAATGAAATCTGACCCCTATCTTTCACCCTGCACAAAACTCAGCTCAAAGTTGATCAAAGACCTAGGAATTAGATTAGAAATCCTATATCTGCTAAGAAGAAAATGTAGGCCCAACACTCCAACAGGTCAGCTCAAGAACTGATTTCCTTAATAAGATTCCTAAAGTGCAAGAATTAAAATAAAAAAAGTCAATGAATGGCCTGACATCAAATTTAAAAGCTTCTTCATCACAAAGGAAACAAGAGTGTGAAGAGAGAGGTAAAAAAATGGGAGAAAATCTTTGCAACCCATACCTCAGAGCATTAATATCCAGAATATACAAAGAGCTCAAAAAACTTAGCACCAAAAACCAAATAACCCAATCAATAAGTGGGCAAAGGAATTGAACAGACACTTCACAGAAGAAGAAATATGAATGGTCAAAAAATATGAAAAAATGTTCAAAATCTAGTAATTAGAGAAATACAAATTAAAACTGCACTGAAATTTCATCTAACTTCAGTTAAAAGAATACAAGAACAATAAATGTTGGCAAGAATGTAGGGGAAAAGGTACACTCATCCATTGTTGGTGAGAATCCAAATTAGTACAACCACTCTGGAAAGCAGTATGGACTTTCCTCAAAAAAACACTAGGAATGGAACCACAATTTGACCCATTTTCCACTCTTCAGTACATATCCAAAGGACTTAAAATCAGCATACTACAGTGACACAGCCAAATCAATGTTTATAGCAGTACAATTCACAATAGCTGAGCAATGGAGCCAAACTTAGTGCCCTTCAACAGATGCATGGATAAAGAAAATGTGATTATCTATCTATCTATCTATCTATCTATCTATCTATCTATCTACCTACCTACCTACCTACCTATCTATCTATTATTCAACCATAAAGACGAATGACTTTATGGCTTTGCTGGTAAATGGATGGAAATGAAGACCACCATGCTAAGTGAAATAAGGCAGTTCCAAGATGTCAAATATGGAATGTTTTCTCTGATACGTGGAAGCTAATCCAAAGTAAAGGGGGACAAAAATAGAAGAAATTTTGATGGAGTAGACAAAGGAGAATGAAGCAATGGGAGGAGGGATAGGGTAGGGAAGAACAATGGAATGAATCTGACCTAATTTTCCTATGTACATATATGAATATGCCATAGTGAATCTCACCATCATGTACATCCACAGACACTAATTTAAAAAAAACTATAAGTATATAGCAGACAGATCAGTAGAGTAGTGGGAAGGAAAGAGGGAGTGGGAGGAGAGGAGGGAAAAGGGAAGTACTGGAGATTGAATTAGAACAGATTATATTCCATACTCTCATAATTCTGCCAAAATGAATCCTAATGTTATATATAATTAAAAAGAACCAATAAAACTAATAACAAAAAAGAAATACCACTAGAGATTCACCATAATGATTAAAAATAAAGTACTGAGTAGACCATGTACTGAGGATATGGAAGAACTCAATCTCTTGTACATTACTGGTGGAAATTTAAAATGGTACTTGGGGAAAGCTTAGTTTTCTTATTAGCTTAAGCAATAGCTACTTTGGCCCAGAATTTTTTACTTCTAGTTATTTATCACAAAGGAATAAAAATGTCTATTTAATCAAGTAGAGTTGAACAAACCCTTCCTCAGAGTTGCTGTGTCTGAGCCTTGACTCCAGGAGGATTTCTGTGGGCTCTGCCATCTCTCTTAGTTCTGCCCACTCATTTTACAAGGACTGATGGAATTGGGTGATTTCCTTATATCTCTACTTGCTAAGAATTCTGTGAAATACTCCCTTGTTATATGAAGCCATAAAAACTGTTCCCATTTGCCACCAGCATGAGTAAGGGCTCATATTACAAGTAGCACAAAATGTTTGGCAATTCCTCAGGAATTCTTTCCTTGTCATAGGAAAGCTGTTCTCTACCCTCTTCCCAGCATGGCTGTAAGGAAGCAAAGAAGAGCTATGTTTATAGGAATATTAGACTTTCTGATTATGTGTCTGAATACATTCATAAGTTCATTCATCAACAAATATTTATTGAACACCTGCTATATTAAGAATTGACTTTGGATGATATCCTCACATCTCTATTCATACATGTGGCTCTGGTGGGCTTGTTTTTTTTACATGAAATATTAGAAATACAAAACTGTGTTTCATAAAATCTGTTGGCATCCCTCTTCCTTCCCCCATCTAAAGTTTTGGTTTTTACTTCTTTGTGTTTTAGATTGTTTTTTGACTTGTATCTTAAGGATTGAAGAGAATTAGCACAGATACATTCTGATGTTAAGTAAAATAGTAAATCACAGTAGGTGACAGTGGTTATGGTTTTCTCTGTTAGTAAGTTGTTAAAGAATTTGTGAAGATAGTCATGAATGTACTAAGTATTCAAATTCTGTTTCAGTTCAAGTTGCCATGTCTACACTATGACAAAAATTTGACAGGGAATAAAGTGCATCTAGAATCATCAATGCCAGTGTGTTCCTTCCTTTTCAGTGTTGATACCAAACCTTCCTTTCCTTTTAAGAATAATCAGCAGCAATCATCAACCAAAAAATGGGGTCTACTTAAAAGTGACTGGATTGGCTGTTTAAATAGTAAGAGTTGTTGGCCTGGTATGGTATGGTCATTTAGGTTCCTGCAGAGAGGGCCTCAGTTTCTATCTTTCCCATCAAAGGCCTTCTTCTTGAGAGTGGGATCTCAAGACTCTTGGTTGGAGGTCATTGAGCTCTTGGCCTACCTGGTTGTGTAGATATGGATTTTCAAATAGGGGTGGAGGCCCATAGGTTATTACTGTTGTTTGGAAAGATTTTCCTGTAGATCCAGTCTTAATGCTTTTCTGACATTCTAGCAAGGGCAGACCCTGTACAAAGTAGATATCAGTGTTAATAATATGAGGAGACAAAATAATGAGTATAGTTATATCAAAGATAATGAAATATTGCATAATGTCTGCAATTTACCATTGATTTGAATGAATCATTAGAAAACTAAATGTAAAACCTGGGACATTGTTTTGAATTGTATGCTCCCTCATAACTTTGTATGAACTTTTATACAAGCACTGTTTTATGAGTTATATAAAACATTTTTAAAAAGTAAAACATTAGAATTGAGTTTGGGGAACACACACTTGTTAATAAGACACACTTTGTGTCCTCACAGAGATGAATATCTGATTGTGATATAGACAAAAAGTGAGAATATGTTATATTATTATGTCACAGGTGAGGTATACAAAAGAAATTATGAACCAGAAGCACATGACAAATTTGTTCTGATGGGGCAAAAAGTCCTTTGAGGAATTTTTCATGGAGACCATGGCACTGGAGTTGCATCTCAAGGTATGAGTACGCTTTTACCATGTAGGAATAGTGAAGAAAGGGAGAGGAAAATGCATGGTAATATGACAGTCCTGGTAATGATGAAAAATGGATATATCTGGAGAGAGGATGGCTAGAGCATAGCAATGGGAGAGAAATTCAGGTCAGATGACAAATGTCTTCATAATGATCTAAGATGTTTGGATTTTACTATGTGAATGTTAATGACGCTTGTTGGTACTGACAACATTCCAAAGAGTAAACAGCCCAGATCAGATGCCAGCAAACTCTAGCTTGAAGGTAAAATATGGCCGATGGCCTACATTTATATAGCTTGCCAACTAAGAATGACATTTACATTTTTAAATGGTTGAAAAAATCAAAACAATAATAATACTTAATGATAACTGAAAATCATAAAATTCATATTTTGATATTTAAAATACAACTTCATTAGAACACACTTTGGTGTCCATAAATGTAGCCATGCTAATTTATTTAAATTTTATTTATGACTGCTTTTTTGTTTTAATTACAGAGTTGAATAGTTTTGTCAGAGATACTGTGGCCTACAAAGCCTGAAGTATTTATTCTCTGGCTGTTTACAGAAACAGTTTGCCAGCCTCTGGCCTAGATAATCAAAATCTGAAATTTGTTTGAAAACTTAATTTTTTATTGATTACTGTAGGAAAAAACCCCACCACTTTTCAGCTATGTGGCCATTTTTATTTTCTTCTCATTTGTATTTCATAATAACCTAGTATGCTATATTAAAAATTCTTTAGAGTCAAAATCCTGATACTTCATGACTGGCTTTTCCTAAAATGAAAGTTTCAAAAGGTAGGCCTTAAAAATAATCCATACTGCAGACAGTGCTGTAGGAACTACAATTCATGGCATTATCATCTATGACTATAAACCATAAAACATACAGACTGCATGACAGCTAACATACATGAGCATAAAGATGAATGTATCTGAGTATGGAGTTGACAAAGTGTGGCGCAGAATGATTTCTTCCTGGCATTTAAACACAGACTATCATTTTCATGGCTAATACCTGCAAAACTCTTTGATATCCAGGCTCAGATCATGATTTGAGAAGGTTATTTTGTTCCTGAAAAATAAAGAATTTGGAAAAATAGGAATTTCCACAACTCTCATTTAAAATGACTCTGTTACATAAAGGAATCAGTTTGCCCCTGCCTTGACCCACCACCATCCTAAGCAAAACTGAAGGTTGTACTTTTCTGCTAGATAGAAACCAATAGAGAAAACCCAAAGCACTAATAGGACTTTAGGGTTGGGAATTCTTTGATTCTTTTTTTTCTCATAGCACATTGCAACAACTTGTTGTCATTTTCAACATTATCACTATCATAATCATTGTTGTTATTATTATCACTGTAGCTATCATTTTTGAGCATACTGGAAGCTTTATATTGATGATTAGTTTTAGTTTGATCAACATTCTTATGAGATGACTATATCATAGGTAAGGGAGCTGAAGCTTAGAGAAATACTTTTATTTGCTTGATACAACAGAGCTGTTAAATGACAAGGCTGAATTTGTATCTTGGTCTATCAATGCTACAGTCTGTAGAGTCTTCCCATTATAGCACAGTGCTTCCTAAACCTCCGTGGTGATATATAAAGAAGCTTAGTGTGTACTAAATAAATTATTTTTAAATTAATGGTAGAAAACACAAAATATACCATCTAAATCATTTTAAGTGTACAATTCAGTAGTATTAATTGCATCCAAATTGTTGTGCAATAGACCTCTAGATTTTTTTTCTTGCAAAATTGAAACTCTATACCCATTAAAACTATACATCATTTTTCTTTCCCCCTAGCTCTGGGTAAAACACCCTTCTATTTCCTGATTATTTTAGTTTTATTATTATATCTACCCTATATAAGTGAATCATACAATATTTGTCTTTTTGTAACTGGTTTATTTCACTTAGCATAATCTCCTCTAGGTTCATCCATATTGTACCTTGTAACATGATGTCATTTTTTTTGTCTAAACAGCATTCCATTGAGTTTATGCACCATATTTTCTTTATCTATTCATCCATCAATGGACATTGGGTTGCTTGTACTCCTTGGCTATTGTGACTAATGCTTCATGAATGTGAGTATATAAATATCTCCTTGAGATCCTATTTCTAACTATTTTAGATATAATTTCAGAAGTGGGATTGCTAGGTCACATCACAATTGTTTTTATGGTAAGCCTGAATGTTTTCATTGCCCTAGATATATCAAAAGTACTATGATATTAAAAATCTGAGTCAATGGGCTGGGGTTGTGGCTCAGTGATTGATAGAGCACTCACCTAGCATATGTGAGGTACTGGATTCAATCCTCAGCACCACATTTAAAAAAATAAACAAATAAAATAAAGGGATTATATTCATCTATAGCTAAAAAATATCTGAGTCAATATTAATCTAGATTAATTAAAAGAAAAGGCTCATAAGAACTAAGAATATCTAAATTATAGGATGTCTTAACACAAGTACCTTTTGTTTCATGCAGATATTTAAAAACAAAATGAAACAAATAAGCTTGTCATGTCACCCAGCCAAGATTCTTCAGGGTTCTATTTAGGGAAAAGAAAAAATGATGTAGAGTTAGAAATAAGTCTATAATTATGAATCAAGTCCATAACAAATGTCTAATATTAATAGTCTCTGATATATGTAGAGTTTATTCAGAATAGATGAACTTTGGCCGAAGTCCTAAATCATTCACCAATGACACTAAATCAGTGAAATCTGAAAACGAGACTTGTTAAGCATCTAAAGGTCCTTAAAATAAAATTCAGCAGTTACATCTAAAACTGATCCTTGACCTACCGTGGTGTGGTCATTTTATCTCATGGGCTGAATTATATTAGTGCATCATCTTTTTCATTTCTGAATCAATATTTTTCATTCATTTTTAAGTAACCATTCTGTAAGCTGATCTTGCTGACACGGTCAATGAATCTTGGCATCATTTAGACTTGTAGGCTTTAAGAGTCCTCTACAAATTCTGTCAGATGCTCTATCTTCCTCTGACATTGCCTTTGGCCCTAATTACTCATTGCATTTTTAATAGCTATTCGGATTCTCTTTGGATATATAAGTAGCTATTTCTTTCCTAGGGAAGTGAGGGCTGAAAATCTTCTGGCGGATGGTAGGAAATAGATGGGACACATAATATTTAGAATAATATACCTTTTGTTTCATTGAGGGCCGTAGGACTCCCCTTATGACCCAGTAATTTTGCATGGGGTAGAGATGAAAAGGAATACCTGAATTAATTTTTATTTACATTTTCTCCCATGTATTTAGCCTGGAAGTTGCAGAATACTAAATCAATAATTGGAAAAAGGAAGGCTGGTCTGGACCAAAATCCTGGGCCCAGACAGCACCAGAAACAGGGGTAACAGTTTAGATGCTAGAGGGTTCTATCCTCCACCTTGACAGAAAATCACCTGGCATATTACCACCTGACCTTCTGTGCAGACTTAAGGGCTCAAAGAAATGAACTTTGGACTTTTAGGAAGACTGTAAATTATGAAGTCATTCAGACTGACTGAAATTTGTGCCATATAAGAGAACATCACTGAACTAGGAATTGGAAAACTTGGGTTCAAATCCTTACTCTTTCTCTAACTGAATGGGTTAGACACTGATCAGCTCCATGCTCTGAATCTTATTCCTTATCTGGAAGAGGAGAAGATGCATGACATTTAGAGAATTACTTTTCAAACTGTATGAGTGAAGGATTAGGTGTTTTATTTCTAATTCATCAGCAGTTGATACTTTTGGCAAATATAATAAGAATAAATTATTTTAAAAAATCATGTGTTTGGGATGGGGTTGTTTTTCAGTGGTAGAGTGCTTGCCTAGCATGTGTGAGGCACTCGGTTTGATCCTCAGCACTACATATAAATAAATGAATAAAATAAACATCCATCAACAACTAAAAAAATATATTTTTTTAAAAAAATACAATCCAAAAATAATGTGCTTAGGTGTCAACAATGTGAAATTATAATGCAAGTTTTTAAATGCTTACTATGTACTAATGACAAACATTTGTTTTGGACAGGTATTAGTCTGCAGATCATATTTTAAGTAGCACTGGTTTAGAGCAGAGCAGAGATTGGCAGTGTATAGCCTGCAGGTCAAACCTAGCACAGTGCCTATTTTTGCAAATTGAGTTTTCTTGGAACACAGCCATTCCATTCACTTAAGATATTGTTTATGGTTGATTTCAGTGAACAATGGCAGAGTTGCAGTGTGACAGAAACCCTGTGGTGACCAAAATATTTACTATCTGACTCTTTATGAAAAACTTTGTCCACCTTGGTTTAGAGGGGGCAGAAAATAAGGGAGCTGGATTAATTTCCTAAGGCCCTTTCAAGCACAAAGAGATAATAATTCTGCCACGATGCTTGGTAATAGGGAAAATTGGCTGTCTGACCCTGAAAGAGAAATAGTCAGAAAATGCTGCACCTTTCAGTGAATTAGATGTCCTAAGAAGACATTTTGCTCCAAAATGAAATATTTTGCTTTCTCCATCCCTTTATATTTCCAGTATTTCAGTGTATTCTACCCACACACTCTGAACACATACACAATTGTGTATTTGATCAGTTAAGGTCATTGTCCAGGTTTCTGGCTACCCCTTTGTTAAATTCCTAGAAATGTGTGCTCTCCTATTTCATTTCCAAAACATAGCCTATTTCTGCATAATTATTAAAGACTCTCTGTTTACCACCAAGGTCTTTCTAAAATGAGCTGTAGTTTATGGGCAGCACTTTGGTAGTTCTTTCTAGTTTGTCTTCATTTGTGGGGGTCCAAGAAGCACTAATAGCATCCCTGTTTACTACCTGAGTTCTAAATCTATAGGGAAAGACAACACTTATGATATTGGAAAATGTGGCTTATATTTGTGCATAAGTGAACGTCTTAACACTGATCTCCAGAATCAATCAGACATCATCAGAATCTCTGAAAACTACAGGCCTATGATAAAAGACTAGGGATAGAGATAATAAAAATATATAGCCTTACTTAAGAAAGGAGGCAGAAAAAGGAATAGGGCTCTTCAAGTCCATTTTATTATCTCATACCAAACAGGTCATTTTTAGATGGAGAGGTTAGAAAGACTACATTCATGGATATCCCTCCAAAAGGAGGAAACATCAGACATGGAGGGAACTAGATTCAAATGCCGACATCGTTCAGGATAAAACCTCTTCATTGACTCATCTTACCACCTATTCTGCTGTGGAAAAAGAAACTCCATTGGTTTCAAACTTAATAGAAATATAAAGTTCAGTCCAGGTTTTTCTTTTTTGGCTAGTCATGAACTTTGCCATTTCTACGTCAGATGTCTCTTCAAACCTTTCTTCCTCCACTTCTCCACTCCATCTCCTTTAAGTCAGACCTTAACAAAAGTTTTTAAAGTATATTTCTTGGATTTGGGGATATAGTTCAGTGGTAGAACACTTGGCCTGGGTTCAATATCCAGTATTGGGAAAAAAAACTAAAGCATATTTCCTGTAACAGGCACATTATCACATATCACATGCACATGGCTTCAGCATGTCTGTGTTGGATAGCTCCTTATACCTTGAGGATATCCAATCTCAAGGACACAGATAGAGCCTTACTTTTCTTTTCTGCCCCAGGGCCCCAAAGGATTCTATTAACTTCTGTGTGGGCACATCTGGAGGTGCTAGAGATTTACTATCTGGTAGCCATCTTCAGCAAGTAGAAAGTCTCTGGATAAATGCTTTAGACAAAAACACATCCTTCTTTGTTTCAGCAGAACAATTTTGAGGAACATTCTTCATTGATGCCCTGGTTGGTTTGAGTTGGTGGCAACAAGCTCATTCATGCAGTATTTTCTTATCTTTCTTCTTCCCTGACTCATACTGCTCTCTTATTTCCACTTTCTGGGATTACCTCCCAAGTGAACAACCTATCCTCTATCTTGGTCTTAGGCTTTACTTAGAGGAAACACAAACTATGTTATTATTTGTGAAGTTAGGTGGTTTTATTACTATTTATTTAAAGACAAGAAACCAAAAGCATCTATAAGTGAAGTAACTTGTTGAAAATTTTATTTCCAGAACATGTCATAGTGTTATGGGCCAGGCTATATGGGCAATGACCAAACAGACTCCATTTTACCCTGAGACTCCATATCTTGTAAGAAATGCATGGAAAGCCCCTCCTCTGTATCCATTAATAGTTGCCTAGCATAACATACTTGGCCACACAAAATAGCAATTCTTATGCAATGTAAAATTGTTCTCTTTGGTTTTCATTTTTTTTGGGGGGGGCAATGTACCTTGTGAGAGATTGATTGTCTAGACAGTAACCATTCTCTAATACATTCTGAACTAGAGTCATTTTGACCACCTTTCCTTCTGCTTGCTTGCTGCTATACCAACCTGGAAAGTCCCATGGGAAATACCAACATACCCATTGCATTGTCTCTCTAACTGCCAATTCAGCTTCTGTACCTGCTTGTTTGCAGCTATGTCAACCCGGATGTGGTTTTTGCCTTTAAATATCCTAAAATGCTCAGGCTTGGGGCTGTTCCTTGCAGAGACAGTTATGGGTCCTGTGAGGAGCAATCACTGGCTGGCTATTTAGACAAAACTGGGACTTGGTGTGTTTTCTGAGCAACCTGCCTCACAACGATATCTAAGGATAGATCCATGTCCAATGTTTCCACTTTACTGATGTCTCCTTTCCATCCAAGATCCAAAGCATTTTCCATGTAACACTTCATTACCTGAATGAAATTTTAATAGAAAAATTTAGATGTATTAGTAGGCATAAGGTATTTTAAAACGCATTTGTAGAAAGTGGCCTCTTTGCAAGTAGGCAAAGTGGTAAATACTTAATCCATGAGTTTTGTTCAAGTGCTAGGACCCATTTATTGTGATTCAAAGAATGGAGACTTTTTAATCAGCTTTTTATTTGTTTGTTTTCTGAACCATTCATATTACAAGTATTGTTTGCCATGTTCATTTCTTGAAATAGAGCCAAATGAAGCACTTTGCAAGCAAAACAGGCCACTCAAATGATTTATTATCATTCAAAAATAAATGAAAATGCTCCAAAGCTGAACAATTAAGCTTTCAAAAGTAAGTACTCAAGTAGGCTTCCTCATTTAAAGAAATCCAAATTAGCTTTAAACTCTCAACTCTAATTTCAATTAAGCAGAAAAAAAGCCCCTGTCCAATTGTGAACTATTTTTATTTTGCCATTTTCAGTCTTTTAAAACATCAGAAGTATCAAGACAGACAAAAGACTGTTGGAAAACATTTACCTACCATCCTGAATGGTCATAAATAGCAGGTAGGAGATGACATCTTGGGAATGCCCTCTTAGCTTCTCTAGGCTTATAATCATCTAAGTGGAAATGAATGGAAATTGGGCCAAAGAAAGTGAATATATATATATATATATATATATATATATATATATATATATATTCCAAGCAGAAAACAGTATAACTCTCCTGGGAGTTTTGAAGAGCTCTTTTTTACTGAAGGAACTATTTACTATTTAGAGGTGTGGATGGAGTTAAGGGTACCATTAAGGATACTGGGGTATCAGCATGTAGCAACATTAGAAAGCTAGAAAGCTATTGGCAATCTTAGGCCTGGTGAGGCAAAGGTGGGAACAGATCTACTAGGCACAGCGATAGCCGGAAACATGGAAGTTCCCCCACTCCCAGAAATTGTGATACCAGAAGAATGGTGTGAAGCTGGCAGAGATCCAAGGTAGTGAGTACTTTAGCCATTTTTTAAAAATCTCCTATTTTCAAATCACTCTCCAGGTACTTCCCTTTAGCTGAAACCAACCAGAAGCCAGTGGCATGGGGTGGAAGTAGAGGTGAGAATCAAGTGATGTAGCTCACATAGGTCACTCTACTGGGGCACAAAGAAGGACAGAGAAAGATGGAGAAGGGATCTAGGAGCTAGTGAAAGAAAGAGAAAGTACTGCATTTGCTCACTCACTCATGAATCAATCCTATCACATACATGAGCAAAATCAGTTTCATAGAAAGCTTTAGCTCCCTAAAGGGTAGGACTTAGACTCACCACTTACAGTAACCAAGAGAGAAGCACTCAAAATAGATTTTAGCCTAAAATTTTAATGTTTACTTGGTAGCCTATATACATTTGGGTACATATTTAAGCAAACAACTGTGATAGTCAACCTTAATATGGATAAAAAGCAATAAGTGCTCATAAAACAAAAGGGTTTCCTTTTCTCAATAGTTAAAATTCTAGCATTACACTGATTATTGAATCCACATCTCAAAAGTTTATTCAAATTGGACCAAATTATTTTATTTTTTCATATATTCTTATTGGGCCTGGGCATGGGGGCCTGTACCTGTAATTCCAGTGAGTTGGGAGGTTGAGGAAGGAGGATCACAAATTCAAGAGCAGCCTCAACAATTTATCTAGGCCCTAAGCAACTTAGCAAGACTGTATCTCAAAATAAAAAAAATAAATAAAATTGGCTGGGGATATGGCTCAGTAGTTATAGGAATAGGGTGCCACACTCATGGATTTGTTGCAGTTTGTCATTCATTCATTCATTCATTTACTGGACACTCATTGAGCATCAAGCAGTTTATTAAGCCTAATAGGAAGATATAAAAGCATCCTTGCAGAGCCGCCCCCTCCCCCTGCGCCGGCAAGATAGAGGGAACTGTGACCACCCACAGAGCAGGCCCACCGGCCTGCTGAGGGGCAGAGCCACCCCCACCCCCTGCGCCTGCCAGGTAGGCGGAACTGTGACCACCAACAGAAAAGGCCCAGTGGCCCGCGGCGGGACAGAGCTTCCAATCACTCCTGCAAGGTAGGCGGGCCTGCGACCCACCGGCAGAAGAGGAGCAGCGGCCTGCTGAGAGGCAGAGCCGCCCCCTCCCCCTGCGCCGGCAAGGTAGATGGAACTGTGACCACCCACAGAGCAGGCCCAGTGGCCTGCTGAGGGGCAGAGCCGCCCCCCCACCCTCCGCGCCTGCCAGGTAGGCGGAACTGTGACCACCGACAGAAAAGGGCCAGTGGCCCGCGGCGGGACAGAGCTTCCAATCACTCCTGCAAGGTAGGCGGGCCTGCGACCCACCGGCAGAAGAGGAGCAGTGGCCTGCTGAGAGGCAGAGCCGCCCCCTCCCCCTGCGCCGGCAAAGTAGAGGGAACTGTGACCACGCACAGAGCAGGCCCAGCGGCCTGCTGAGGGGCAGAGCCGCCCCCCACCCCCCGCGCCTGCCAGGTAGGCGGAACTGTGACCACCATCAGAACAGGCCAGACCTGCAACCGACAGAACAGGCCCAGTGGCCTGAGGAAGGGTAGAGCCGCCCCCCCCATGCCTGCAAGGTAGGCGGACCTGCGACCCACTGGCAGAACAGCCCCAGAGGCCTGCAGAGGGGCAGTGCCACTGCCTGCGCTTGCAAAGTAGGCAGAACTGCGACCACCGACAGAACAAGCCTAGCGGCCCGCAGAGGGACAGAGCCGCCGCCCGCGCCTGCAAGGTAGGCGGACCTGCTACCGACCGGCAGAGCAGGCCCAGCGGCCTGACGGCGTGGTAGGCACGTTGCCCCAATTGGAGGAGGGGCAGAGCCGCCGCCCGCGCCTGCGAGGGAGACTTTGCAACTATACAAGACCAATATAAATATATAGGGGGAAAATTCAATAGCACAATAGTTTCACCAAGTAGAAAGGAACGCGAACAGTATGAAGAGACAAGGAAAGAAAGGACCACAAGCAATGCAGGTCAACTCAACGTTAGAAGAGGTAATAGCTGCAGCAGATGGAATGTCAGATAAAGAATTCAGGATATACATGCTTCAGATGATCTGGAGTCTCAAGGAAGACATCAGACAGCAAAATCAGACAATGAAAGATCACTTCAACAATGAATTACATAAACAAATCCAAGAAGCAAAAGATCAACTATACAGGGAGATAGAGGTTATAAAAAAACAAACAGAAATCCTAGAAATGCAGGAAGCAATAAACCAACTTAAAAACTCAATGGAGAATACTACCAGCAGAGTAGAACACTTAGAAGATAGAACATCAGACAATGAAGATAAAGTGTTTCAACTTGAAAAGAACATAGACAGCTCAGCAAGACTGTTAAGAAACCATGAGCAGAACATCCAAGAAATATGGGATAACATCAAGAGACCAAATTTAAGAGTCATTGGGATACAGGAAGGGACAGAGTTTCAAACCAAAGGAATGAGCAATCTATTCAATGAAATAATACGAGAAAACTTCCCAGACTTGAAGAATGAGACAGAATCCCAAATCCTAGAAGCCTACAGGACGCCGAATGTGCAAAATCATAAGAGACCCACACCTAGACACATTATAATGAAGATGCCCAACATACAGAGTAAGGAGAGAATTTTAAAAGCTACAAGAGAAAGGAAGCAGATCACATTTAGGGGTAAGCCAATCGGGATAACAGCTGATCTTTCAACACAGACTCTGAAAGCTAGAAGATCCTGGAATAACATATTTCAAACACTGAAAGAAAATGGGTTCCAACCAAGAATTGTGTTTCCAGCGAAATTAAGCTTCAGGATGGAAGATGAAATTAAAACCTTCCACGATAAACAAAAGTTAAAAGAATTTGCAGCTAGAAAACCATCTCTTCTAAACATCCTTGGCAAAACATTACAGGAAGAGGAAATGGAAAATAAAAATGAAAACCAACAGTGGGACGTAGGACAGTAAAGGGGGGAAAAATAATCAAAGAGGAAAACAAACCATGTTTAGTAACATAAATAAACAAATATGGCTGGAAGAACAACCCATATCTCAATAATAACCCTAAATGTTAATGGCTTAAACTCACCAATCAAGAGACACAGGCTAGTAGAATGGATCACAAAACAAGACCCAACAATATGCTGCCTACAGGAGACGCATTTGATAGGAAAAGACATACATAGGCTGAAGGTGAAAGGGTGGGAAAAATCATATCACTCATATGGACTTCGGAAACAAGCAGGAGTGTCCATACTCATATCAAATAAAATAGATTTCAAGCCAAAGTTAATCAAAAGGGATAAAGAGGGACACTACATACTGCTCAAGGGAACCATACACCAACAAGACATAACAATCATAAATATATATGCCCCAAACAATGGTGCAGCTATGTTCATCAAACAAACTCTTCTCAAGTTCAAGAGTCTAATAGACCACCATACAATAATCATGGGAGACTTCAACACACCTCTCTCGCCACTGGACAGATCTTCCAAACAAAAGTTGAATAAGGAAACTATAGAACTCAATAACACAATTAATAACCTAGACTTAATTGACATATATAGAATATACCACCCAACATCAAGCAGTTACACATTTTTCTCAGCAGCACATGGATCCTTCTCAAAAATAGATCATATATTATGTCACAGGGAAACTCTTAGACAATACAAAGGAGTAGAGATAATACCATGCATCCTATCTGATCATAATGGAATGGAACTGAAAATCAACGATAAAAGAAGGAAGGAAAAAGAATACATCACTTGGAGAATGAACAATAGGTTACTGAATGATCAATGGGTTACAGAAGACATCAAGGAGGAAATTAAAAAATTCTTAGAGATTAATGAAAACACTGACACAACATATCGGAATCTATGGGACACATTGAAAGCAGTTCTAAGAGGAAAATTCATTGCTTGGAGTTCATTCCTTAAAAAAAGAAAAAACCAACAAATAAATGATCTCATACTTCATCTCAAAATCCTAGAAAAAGAAGAGCAAAACAACAGCAAAAGAAGTAGAAGGCAAGAAATAATTAAAATCAGAGCTGAAATTAATGAAATCGAAACAAAAGAAACAATTGAAAAAATTGACAAAACTAAAAGTTGGTTCTTTGAAAAAATAAACAAAATCGACAGACCCTTAGCCATGCTAGCGAAGAGAAGAAGAGAGAGAACTCAAATTACTAGCATACGGGATGAAAAAGGCAATATCACAACAGACACTTCAGATACACAGAAGATAATCAAAAATTATTTTGAATCCTTATACTCCAATAAATTAGAAGATAGTGAAGGCATCGATAAATTTCTTAAGTCATATGATCTGCCCAGATTGAGTCAGGAGGATATAGACAACCTAAACAGACCAATATCAATTGAGGAAATAGAAGAAACCATCAAAAGACTACCAACTAAGAAAAGCCCAGGACCGGATGGGTATACAGCAGAGTTTTACAAAACCTTTAAAGAGGAACTAATACCAATACTTTTCAAGCTACTTCGGGAAATAGAAAAAGAGGGAGAACTTCCAAATTCATTCTACGAGGCCAACATCACCCTGATACCTAAACCAGACAAAGACACTTCAAAGAAAGAAAACTACAGACCAATATCTCTAA